CTCTGGAGGTCAGCTCCTAGTCCTTCTTTCTTCATCAGAGGCCAGGATTAGAATTCTAGTCCTCTTTCTTTGGAGGTCAAACACAGTTTTTCTTCTATCTTTAGAGGCCAGGGACAGAGTCTTTCTTTTTTCTTTTGAGGCCAGGAAGAGAGTTTCTTCAGTTGGCTTCTGCCCTGCGATGTATCCTCTTTCAGAGTCGCTTATCCTACCGGCCTGACTGGACCATTTTCAAGGCTGATTGATTGGACCATTTTAAGACAAACCAGCCCACTTGGCACTGAATAATTAACTAATAAGCTGACTGGTATCATTGGTTCATTTTGCTTGCACCTAATGGTCCATTCTACAATCCAGGCACAAAATATAAAATAGAAAACTTCTTGTCCTGCTGCTGGCCTGCTAGGGGGCCCCAGTTTCAGAATCTGATTTGGAAAAAAAAAGAATCTGATTTGGGGTTGGAAAGATTCTCTAAGTAGTCTTAAAAGTCTAGGTTTGTTCTTAGACTATGAGTCATTCCTCAAGATAGACTTCTTTGGGCCATAGTGTCAGGCTTGGATTCAGGCTGACAATTATGGAAGTTCTGAACTCATTTTCAAGATGTGAGAATTTGATTAAAAGGGCCCATTTCTACATGTCTCTTCTATTTTAAATAGTGATATATGCTCTTCTTTTAACAAGTCACTTGCTTGTAGTAGATATAATTTGTATTTTTAAATACTAAGTGTACAAGAAATGGGCTGCTGATGGAGTAGGATGAAATGGTTATTTTTTTTTTTTTTATCTTGAGGAGACTATTTGAGAGGTAATAAGAATAAAAGATCTATAATTAGCTAGCCAGAGGTTCTGCTACTTAAAAAAACAATTGACTCTTGAACAACGTGGGGGCTAGGGGCATGACCTCTACCCACAATTGAAAATATACATGTAACTTTATTCTCCCCAACCTTAACTACTGATAGTCATACCAATGACACATTTGATAAATACATATTTTGTATGTTATCTGCATTATATACAGTATTGCCATAATGAGTAAAACTAGAGTAAGGAAAACTTAAGAAACTTATAAGAGAAAATGCATTAATAATTCTGTAGTGTATTTATCAATACTCTAAGCTTACATTTTCTGTTTATGAGAAAAGCCACAATTAAATGGATCTGCAGGGCCTCCCCGTTGGCGCAGTGGTTGAGCGCTGGGTTGCGAAGCTGCCCACAGCCTCTGCAGCGCCTGTTCGATCCCCAGCTGCTCCCTGGCCACCAGAGGGTCCCACATGGTGCGCAGACCTCTCCTGCCGCCCGCTGCTTCCCTCAGCAGTGTACTAGGGTCCTTCTGCCTGTTCTGCTCCCTGCTCTGACTCTGGTGAATTCTCTCACCCTCCCATGCTTCTGACTGTACCCAGTGCTTGTATAAATAAATAAATAAATCTTTAAATAAATAAATAAACAAATAAACAAATAAATAAATAAATGGATCTGCAGTTCAAGGCCATGTTGTTCAAAGGTCAACTGTACTTGCTTGGTATGTGATTTTCACCAAGTTATGAACATTTTAAAGTTTCAGTTTTCTAAGATAATTAGTAATATATTATTTATTAATAGTTATATTAATGTAATTATAACATTCTCTATAATAATATATTAAATAAAGTGAGGAAAATAATACTCGATATCTCAGGAAGAGCTATATAAATCATATTTGTGAAATTTATAGAAGATAATAAATTCGTAAAGCATTTAGTACAAATGTTGGCACACATTCTACAGCCAATTAAAATTTGCCAATTATTGAGGTGGAGATTACAGTCTTGTTGGAACAATAATAAACATAGTTATTCAATAAGAAACTCATGACACCTGCCTAAAGATATGATAAATGTTATTATTTCTTTAACACTTGAAACAAGGAAAGATAGATGTGGGCAGGAGAAGCTTGAGAAGGCTGGACTGAAAAAACACCTGCGAAGTGACAGTATCCTAGTCTGAGCCCCTCTCCAACATACCAGGACACTGAGCATGTCAAATGTGCTCCAAGAACACTGACCCTCTAAGAGATTTAAGATTTGAGTTAGGAATCCAGAGATAGCTGGGGTTTGTGCAGGTAGGATGAGAAGATGCATTTTGGGGGGAGGAGAAATTGAACAAAGATGCAACTGCAGGAACAACAGTGCATGAGGCAACTTGCAAAAGATAATGCATTCACATTTCTGCACACTAAGCTTGAGGTGAGAGGGAGAAACAGGTGACAGGGTGTGTGAGTTCATCAGGGATGTGTGTCTGAAGCTTATAGGAAACTCCAGGGCTGAAGATAAACATTGGAAGTCAATTGAAACAATGGCAGTGTGAGATATGACCTGGGCACAACAAAGTAAATCTTTAAAACAGAATTAGGAAAATATCTAAGGACAAGATTAAGAATTGGAACCAGTGAGAAAAATGAAAGATGGAACAAGAAGAAACAGTAATAAGTGAAATAAACAATGTGCAATTAGGGTCTATCAGGTGCCACAGAGCTCAGTTTCAGTTGCATATTTGTATAGACCTGTAAATGGAATGAAGAATGAATGAATGAATGAATGAATGAACGAAAAATTAAGAGTAAGAGGCAAGGGAAGACTAGCCTGGAGTAAGAAACCTGGGCTGCAGCACCAGCTCTCATTCTAACTTTAGTAAAATTGTCACTAGGCCTGATGCCCAGTTACAGTTGGCCCTTGCTCTATTTTCATGTGACTTTTATTGCAGGAACACCACAACCTTGAGCTGCTTACCCGATGACTCTCTTCTTACAGAGAGTGGTGTCTGGATCTTTTCAAGGAAAGCAGTGGCCTTGAGCTGAACTCTGGCTGCAGAGAGATGGGGTCCAGAGAAGGAGTTGCTGCTTAGAGGTGGAGCCTACCAATAGAAATTTATATATACAGCCTCTCCGTACTTCTGCATGGATTGTAGGAATTTAATTTTATAATGCACTTTAGTCAACTCCACATTCCTTTGCCCAGAACTTGTCAGTCAATATTGTTTAACTCTTTTGTTCTCTATCCTGCCTTCCCAAATCTATAGCCTTTCCTGTTTTTTCAATCAGGAAGACATTAAAACATGAGCTACATTCCCTATTCCTTGGTCAATGAATACATTTTTGGCTGCACAGAATTTGTGTACTTCTGGGTAATCTGATCTGCAGATAGTATACAGAACAAAGGGCAGAGGTAATGAAATCACCAAACAGATCCATGACTCAGTTTACAAATTTTCAAATTGAGATTTAAGTGAAATGATTTCCATAGATCCTACCTGCTCAGATCTAAAGAAAAAGGAGTAAGTTTCAAAATGCATAGAGAAGAATGAGTGCATAATTTTATGATTCATTTACTCCTTCAATAGGTATTATGTATGAGTCATTAATTATGTGTATATTTATGCATACATTGTAGTGTAGGGAAAAACCCATCTCTAGTTTAAAGTTAGAGAATTTAAGCAATTTTCACACATAATTTCAATGTAGAAAAATGTCATGAGAAAGAATTTGACTCTAGAAGCTTAAAAAAAAAATGAGAAGTCGTTTCCAATCTGCTGAAGGTGGGGGAATGATGAGGACTATGGAATGAGCTGCCGAGGAGCTCTCAGAGGCCTTCCATAGTAGACCACTGTACAAATTAAACTGAAAAGCAATTCACCAGTAGGTGAGAATAGTCCTTCTGCTGGAGTCTCTATTCAAAGTAAGGCAGGCTTTGGTCTGGTGTCAGCCTAGGAGTACAAGAACTAAGCAAATCTCTCCCTAGCTTTGCCTATGTTAGTAGGCAAGACCTGAGTCAACTCCCAGCTTTGCCATTTACTAACTGTATGATCTTGGGCAAAACTCTTAAACACTGAGTTTCAGTTCCTGCCTTTGTAAAATGAGGATACAATTCATACTACTTCAATATGTTGCTGTAGGGAATATATGAAGTGAACAATTTGGGCTTTATACCAAGTGCTTGATAAATGTTAGCTATTGTTCTTTTCCTAAAGAGAAGATGGTGGACCATCTTCTCTTCCTGGCTTTGAGAGGATGCGGAACTAGATTATGAGACCTAGACTCAATTTCTGGTTTTGTATTTAGTTGCTTTCTTTTGTGTATTGGCTCTTTAATTCTTTTAACACTTGGCAATCTCTGGAACACTTAGCCATGCCCTTTTCAACTCTGCCTCAGCCTTCATTTCCTGCTTACAGTGAACTTAAAGATCAGTCAGTGGTGAACATTCAGGGCCTTCTCAATTATTTACTGAGCACTCGTGGCTTTCTAAATCCCCTAGTATACATGATCACTTCAGAATTTTCAAAAGCAACCTTCCTGAAGGAAACCTCTCTCTAGCTTTGCTTATGTCACTAGGCAATCTCTTGCAAGTCTCAACTGTAATTGTCTTAGGTGATTGCAGGCCTTTTCTGATCATCTTATAGTGTTTACAAGCCATGCCCACCACTTTTCTGTGCTTACTTGCAGTTAGACTGAAGAGGTAAGCACCTTGCACTCATCCTTCAGGTTGTCCCTAGAGAGACTAGTAAAATAATTTTCAAACAATCTCTGCTCTATTCCTTCCAAAACCAAGGACCAGGCCCCACACTGCCACAGGGGCTGCTTTCAAGACTGTCACAGATCTGGGAAGGACATCACAAAGTTTGTCTACTATTAAATTGCCCCTTTCTTGACTCAGCAGTCATTGGATTGTTGTAAACTTTTGTTTTCTAGCATTTTAACAAAGCTGACTCTGACAGCTTCTGGTCTTTTTTCCCATAAGTTACTTACTGAGGCACAATAGCTTGGAGGTACTTGCCACCTTGCTGTCATTACTTCACCAGTTGCTTGGACATCATATTTCTTCCATAAACAACACTTTTCAGAAAATGCCTAGAAGGATCAATGCAGGAATGTGTAACACTTTTACAAAATATGGTGCATAGGAAACCTTATCTTAGGAGATGTTTCTTGTGAACCATATCAGTTACTTCAGGGTTTTATTAAATGATTGGTAAAAAAAAAAAAATAATTTACAGGTACATTTTTCTTGGTCTTCTTTTCTACTAAGAAAAACATTACTTCTCTTTCACCACCAGATTGTGTTGCCTAGTATCAGCAAGAGAAACATATTAGTTTTATTTCAATATTTTATTATACCTTTTCATAGTACACAGTTTACTGAAAACATTTAAAATATTGAGACAAAAACAACTTAAAAAACACACACACTTAGACAAAACAGCTCTTCCAGCTGAGGTACTATTTATAAGATTCATGGTCAAATCACAAATTTTTGCTACGATGTGATACAATTTGGTACTATCAGTGATGCTCAGTGACTCAACAGAAATATATTACATATCCAGCTTATGTTAGGTAGAGCAAGAGAAATATGTAGCTGTTTGAAAGACAGAGCAGAAATGCCAAAGTTAGCTAACACTCAAATTCTATTGCAAAGTGAATTGTCGCTAAGGTGGTTTTACTTGCTTATACATTATTGAAAATAATTCAGACTTGACAATCTTTTTAAAAGCTGACAGACTAAGCAAATTGAGGCAAATATCCTCTACAATCTTAACTGGAAAAAAATCATAGCAGCACATCTTATTTTCTGAGCACATGAATGAATACACAGTAGTATTGAAGCCAGTGCTAAAAGACAGCTCTGAGTAGTCAGGCACAATTGCAAAAGCGAGCTCGGCCTGTTACCTCTCCAGTTACGTTTTTGGAAACGTTGGCAATTGTCAAATTCCCCAGTCCATGGGCATTTTGAAATTAGTTTCTTTTCCAATCTTCAACTGTCTAGTGCTGTTTGGAGGCTTGAATAATTTTACAAGGGTCCACAAAATAGAGGACGTCTCAAGGGAAAGATATATACACAGGTTTAGTAAACCAATAAATAAGTTCAGTTAATATAGTAAGCTAATATTTACCTGGTTTTTCAGTTTAATTGTTCTCGAACTATTTGACTCAAATTAAGAAACCCTACAATGTAAGGCAAACATCTCACACTTCAGCAGCATAGCCAAGACTTGGCTTATGTAAGTAGGCTATTAGACCTTTGGAGCATCTTAATAGAACTTTATCCGTAATCTATTAGACATACTGAATTTTAAAAATACAACTGTGAATATGAAATGCAGTCTATGATTATTTGATTTTGGAACCTACATGCTAAGGAACTAGAGGAATTTTAGAAAGGGAGAGTATGTCCAATATTCATTTCACTGATTCCATTCTAAATTCAGTTCAAGCATTTGGCTTGCATTTACATATTTGAGTTTTTATATTTCAACTAACTTGGAAAAGGAATAAAAACTAATATTTTATTTGCCACCTTTCAATTTTTGTTTTAATGTGAATTTGTATTCTTCCTCCAAAGTGACAAAAAATAAGATACACGTTATTTGGATGTCATTCAGACTACCAATTTTATGATCCCATAATGAAATAGATTTATATTCAGTTTCCCATAATCCTGATATATCTAATTTTTAGCTAATCCTGATATATTTAATTTTTAGTTAGATTTTCACTCACAAACACTTAATTTCATTCAGATTCTGTTCTCCTAGAGTTTTCTGAACCTTGAAATTTTCTGAAGTGTATGCCTATCTGAAGCTATCTTATTTGATTATAATAAAAATAAAAGGTGTTTAGGAAGTTGGACATACTATAAACATTTTAAAAATTACTTAGCCATTAAAAAAAAAGGACATAGGTTGGATAAGGTAAATTATAAAAGATTAATCATAAAATACATGTGATCAGTGGTATTTAATTACATTTTCACCTTCTTGGTAGAATTTACAGTGGAAAACTTGTGTGTTTTAATAATTAAAACATACACACACACACACACAGGTAGTGTATATTGTTTCATAGTTTTGGCTGTTATGTTTTGTTCCCAATACTCTTCAGCAGAAGAAGTAATCATTTCTCTGACATTCAGCAAAAAAATCTGTGGCATGCATGCTAGGTTGGAAAACATTAGCTCAAAGTCACTGCAGTGTTCTGAATGAAAGCTGTAAAAGTAGGATATCATTCACATGAGAAAATAAAACTTTAAAATGTTTAATGATGGATCAGTCAAATGCATTTATCATTTTCGTATACAAAAAGCCTTCCCACCAAATTCAATTTAGGGACAGAATTCTTTTTATTAAACTGGTTAACAATATTTTACTTATTTGTTGACACTTATTTTGCTTATCTGCAAGAAACAAGGATACACTTGCTATAATCTTCTAATTGTCTTCAGTATTCACCCAATGTTTAAAAACAAGATACTAAGGAAAAGTCTGTTTCCCATTTATGTATATCAAGATTGGAGAATAAAAATTTTAAACAAAATATGAAAGAAAATAAAAACTGAAGCCAGTATTTAATGACTGTACAGAAGACAAGAGGCGCAGTGGGTTTTAACTATGTCTCTTCTAAGACAAGTTGTCCAGAGATGAAAAGCAAGTGACATTCCTTTAAGTACACAATTTGTACACATGGTAATAGCAATAGTTATCATGATTATTTTATATTCTTTCTTAAGAGTGGCTCCAAAAAGTTTGATAATTCATGTAACTAGATAAGCAAATCAAATATTATAATCGTATGACAAATTTTAAGTTACTTTCACTGAAATGCTAGGTTTGCTATTTGCCTTAATCTTTTAAGTACCTTGACTTTTAATGTTTATTCTGATATTCCAGCAGAATATCATTTTAAGCAATAAACTGATCTAAGAGTGGAAAATTTGTACAGATAAACTAAATTCCAAGTTATTTGTGTACACATAATAGCTTTATATAAATGTACACAACCATTAAATATAATTATATAGGGGCAATGTAATTTAAAACTCATAGTTCTTGTTTACAGATTACCAGATGTAATCCTCATAAGTATTTATCATTGAAGACATATTTATTTACTTCAAGGTAAACTATGACCTTCTAATTTCACACACTACATTAAAGATGACATACTCATATCAATTGAAAAGGAGAAATAAACATAAAAATTGTAAGTCAGATGGAATAAATTCAGCTCTATGAAATTTTGTTTGATGATAAATTTTTGCTTCTGCTCAGAATAATTTTTAGTTCAGGACAAGTGATATAATAGTAAGAATTTAATTCATGTAAGCTTTACTTTTACTGAATTTGTCCAAAATACATACCTATGCATTAAAAAAAAAAAATGGAAGAGTCAATATAATCAGCATGGGCTTTTTTTTAAAACCAGTTTCAATTTCTAATGCCCACCCTCCCAACCGCCCCCCTACTGCATTTTACTTTTATTTCTCATAATTTCATAACAAAGTATCCAGATTATGTCTTTTAGACTAACCAGGAGCCTAAATCTCAAATGCTATTTTGAAGAAGTGTAGAGTAAATAATTTTCGTCATCTGTAAAACAGCTGCATGCAGTGTGTACTGTATTATAACAGCACCAAACCCTTTATAAAAACCAAACACTCCTTCCTCCTGCCTTATGGTATTGACACAGTCTCTCATTCCCTCATACTGTGTATTAATTGGAAGTACTTCATAGCCAAGGTCTGTATTGTCAATGATTGTGCGTGTTCCTTGAATGTGAAGGCGGTGCAAAACTGTTTCCAGTGGGTAAAGTATAACATCAGAGCAAAGACTAGCAGCAAAGTTAGCAATAAGTTCTGGAAAATAAGCATCCAGCATATTCTGCACAGGACTAGTGTTCTCAGTTAAGTGGCTATTATAAGTCTTTCTCTTTAGAATTAGTAGGACAAACTTCTGAACAATTGAGCTAATGATGTAATGAAGAACCCCATGGAGCACGGTAGGGAAGAGCAAGGAAAGAAGCGGAAGTAGTCGTTTGCTATGAGGCACTCCCAAGCCCATCACTCTTCCAATTCCTTCTTTAACACATTCCAAAATTCCAGTATTATCTCGAATTATCTCACTCTGAAATAAAAATGATGAAAAAATTAACATTTGCTTCTTTTACCACAAAAAAAGGACACCTTTTTCATTCCCTTTTTATTGAGGTAACATTGGTTTCCACACTGCACATGATTCAGAGGCATAGGTTTATACCTGGTTCAGATATATGTTACCACACCACACTCACCACCAAGGCACCTGACTAAAGAGGAAAGCATCAATAGCATCAATGGTTTGTAGACTTTATGTTACTAGGTATTAGTTTTTTTTTTTTTTTTTAAGCGGAATGTGTTAACACAAGACAGCAGTGAAGCTGGGAGCTTTTCTACTGGAGAAGGGAAACTGGAGAGGAGAGGTGGGGTGGGTCACACCTGGTTTTCTCAACCTTAAGAAGTTCCTCAGAACTTATTTTGAAAATCGAAACTAGATGATACCTGAAGAGGCTAGTGCTTAGTGTTCTCAAGCATGTATTGAAACCCTGCCTCCATCATTTACTGGCTTCGTGACCATGGGCAAGTTACTACAATTCTCCAACGAGTACAGGTTATCATCTAAAAAAAGTTAGTACTACCTAACTTTTATGCAGTTGCTGGAAATAGTAAATGAAAAAAGGTCTTGTATCCAGGAGGCAATTAATAAATGTTAATCATTATCATCTACATGTCTGTACTATTTCAAATTTGGAGGATATGTATAACAAAATTTGCCATATAGATTATAGAAAGAAAGGCAGCAAAGGAATAGCCAGCTTTGTCTATAACAATAACTGCATAAGAGAACAGCAAAAAAATGAAGTTTAAAAGGTAGTTAGAGGTCACACCATATCATTGTGTAGACACTGAGTTCCAGTCAGAGGGAAATAACTAGTTGGTGTTAAGCAGAAGATGGGCATGATATATATAACTTATGTTTAAAATAATACTGGCCGACACAACAAAATTAATCATTTATTAAAATATTATTCCCATTTTTATGAATGAGTAAATTAAGTTGTGGGAAGATTAAGAAATTTGGTTAAAGTCACATATTGAATTTAAGTAGAGAAATGTGATATTCTGTCTAAAGCTAAAATCTGTTTCCCTCTAATATATCATGGTGCTTATTTTTATTTAAATAATTACCGTCCTGCTTCCCCCACCACCCCCCTTTATCTACAAAATAAGGGTATCTCAGATAGTGAACACTGTAAACTATAGTATCACTTAAAGGTAATATTTTTTATTTAACATAATAAATGTAAGTGGAGAGTAAAGTGTATTTGAGTAATAAGATATTAACTTCAGAGTTAATGCTAACAAAAATTAAAAAAAAACCTAAAAGCCAGTGATGGGGTCAGAAAAGCAACTAAGTGGGAAAAAAAAAAAGGGAAAGGCTGATGGGGTAAGGCTTCAATGAAGAAGAATCTCCTACATAGTAAATACCAAAAATATGCTGGAGGAGCTGATGTTAAAGAATGAAGATAGGTGGTATACAATCAGTTGGATTTTGTGTATAGATCAAATTAAAACTATCTTCATCACTAGCTTCATCGTACGATTTTAGGTGGAGGAATAGTAATATGGCAATAAAGCACATTAATTCAATGTACTACAAGCGCCACCATGTGGTTGGAAATAGCAAAACAATTTAAACTGTTATCAGGAGATTGCTTTAGCTTTGCATTCCTTACCCACTATGGTATCAAACATTCCTTAAAAGGTGTATTTAAAAAGAATGCTGTTAGTAAATTACCTATGGGGACTATCTGCTCACTGTTAGAACTATTCATCGTGTGTTATGCTCAAGTAATTAATTTATTATCCTATGATAAGTGATAACCATTTTAGTTGTATATAAAGGTCTTAAAAAGTTGAAAAAAGTGAGAATTTTTGTATTTAAAGAAAGTCACAGACTAGGTCCTGAGATATCTGAAAGAAGAGTATAGCTGCCTATGAAAGGGATAAATATAGAACTAGAAGAGTGAGGTTAAGTTCCCAAAGGAAATGTACACACCAGCAATGTTTCCAGTATAGTATAGAATTTTTGATATGTTATCTGTGAAATAAAAATTTTAAAAGAACCCAAGTCTTAAATTTGTCTGTTAATCAACCATAAATACACAATACAGTAAATACTTAAAAATTATTTTTAAGTAAAAAGTAACAGTAAAAAATAGCTCACCTGTACTGTTTCGATTAGACTTGCTGAATAAAAAGGCATTGCCACCATATAAGTTAGGCTGCAGAAATTAAAACAAACTTTTAAGTATGCTGAAACAAAATGTGCATATTAAATTTTTCAATATTTACTTTAATACATCAATATACTTTACGTTCAAATCTAAGTGATATTTTTAAGCTTTTTACCTGTAGCCTAACAAAATTTGAGTCCTCAACAATTAGAAATGAAAAATTAAGTATAAGCAATAATGCAAGGACAGCCTGAAAAAAAAAATATCTGAACTAGTAAAATGGAGGCTCATTTATGATTCATTATTTGGACATCTGCATATAGCTAATGTAGCCTATAAATCTGATCTTTGAAATTTAGTAAGAAAATTTAGAATGAGGGATCCATTGCTTGCCTTTCTGGTGATATGTGAACAAGGATATTGCTCTGCTGTTATCCTGTCTGTTATCGTTATTCACTCCCAGATTTCCCACCCAGCAGGGCTAAGCCAGTCTCCAATGCTGAGTAAAGTCCCCTTGTATTGTTAAAAAAAAAATCGTACAGCTTTGCAAAGTTGTGTCCTATCACAATATATTTAGACATAGTAGTATTACAACTTTGCAAGCCTGCAAAATATAGTTATTTAAAATAATATCAAGGCGGGACTTACCTAACCCTATGGGCCAGGTCCTGGCAAGCAGTGGTTTTCAAGGTGAAGGGAACATCACTAAGTAATAATATGGCTGGAATGTCCCACAGTGGGAGCCAGCAAGATGGGGGGTTTCCAATTCACAATCTTCAAAGAAAATTAAAAAGTGAAGAGTAAAATTCTAATCTACAAAAATGACCAGAGTTGTAAAAAATCACTAAATGTCTTTAAGACTGCATTTTAATGACACTAAGTGTTGAATGTGCTCATTGCTGTACAGATCTCTGCTTAATAATAATATTCATGGTGATTTGGGTTCACAAGTTGAAGACCTTTGCTATCTTCTTAAGAACACAAAGAAAAATTAGGTTGTGATTGCATTTCAGCTTCAAGTCAGAAAGATTTATTTTAAAGATAATGTTTACTTCAGGATTTTTCCTAAACTCAGTGTTACTTCTCTTCTGAAGTTCTAATCCCAGATATTTAATTGCTTTAATTTCCTTCAATGTATCTATTTAATATTTTTTTCTAATTCCAAGACTATAAAAATTAATGGTAATTTTCAATATATATGCCACTTACGATTTCAATAGAAGGTGTTCTCCTATTTGTTTGGGACTCCATTTATGTGAAATCTCCCTAAAAATAAAAAAAATTAAATAAGTCATACTACTTAAAACATTTTGAATTAGCCCAAACTTTCAAAAAGGTAATAATCAATTTTAAATTTTTTAACTCTTTAGGAGAAATGTATTCTAATGGTGAACATCTTCCTTTCTGGGATACAATTTGAACAACTGAGAAAACCACATACAGGTGTTTTGTATGTGCTGATAGAAGGGGCTAACAGGAGAACAAATTGTAAAACTGATTATAAAAATTAACATGAGAAATTAAGGGAGGTATAAAAATGATGGGTTGAGGAAAAAATGAATGGTGGAGAGAAACAAAACATGGAATAGGATGAAGGAATTAAACAGCTTAAAATGTATATAAGAATAAGGATTAAAAAAAAAACAATTAGAATGACATATTTGTGTAGCCCCTAATTTCCAAAGTGCCTTTACTTACTAAAAGGGCGTTAATTTTGTAACCTTTATTAAAGTCCCTTACATATATTTTTAAAAACTTTTTAAACTTTTTATTTTTTACATCATTGTTCATTTTTAAATATTTGCTTCCCCTCACCCCCTCAGGTGTAGTCCCCATAGAGTTTCCTTCACCAATGCACTCGTGCACCATCACCTCAGTCCCCTGTGCTCCTCCCTCCATCCCTCTGATCCCTCTCCCACCACCTCCCCTGCAGGATGCTTCTGATTTATAATTGTCTGTTTTTGCTTTGTTGTGTTTTCTACTGTTATTATTTTTTTACACTGATGTCTTATTGGGTTCCCCTATTTTCCTGCTGTAAGTGAAACCATCAATATTTTTTTTTCCTTCTGACTTATTTCACTGAGCATAATTCCTTCAAGCTCCATCCACATTGCTATGAATGGCATGCGTCCCTTATATTTTTGAGCAACAACTGTATGCCAGGCACTGTCCAAGGGCTTCACACGAATTATTTTAATGCTCACAATATCACATAGATAAGGCAACAGGTTCAGAGAGGGTTCATAAATTGCCCAAAGCTATACAACCAATTAGTGGTAGAATTGGGTCCTATGCTCTGGTCTCTATAACTCAGAATCTGGACCTTCTGTCTGTACCTCTTCTCATCGTACTTGATACAAGCAGCATTCCATGAAATAAGAAAAGCCAAATGCTGTCACATTTGTCTTATTTATGAAAAAATGAAAGTGACAAAGATCTCAGGCACATCTTCAAAAGAGAGAGGTAAAATGCCAGGTCTGGAGCCAAGGCCTAGGACTATGTGCTTCCTGCTCTTTAGGTTTCCTCTGAAAGCCAGAAAGAAAGAAAAAGAGGCAATCTGAAAGAAAAACAAATTGGGAAAAAGTATCAAGAGTGAAATCAAAAAGCAGAAAAGAACATTGAGAGTAAAAATGATAGCAAAATAGGGGGCAGGAAAAAAAAAAAGAAAAAGCCCTCAAAAGGGGATGGAAGGGAGAGAAGCAGAATAACTGAGAGGGGAAAGCATAAATAGGAGATCTCTGCCACCAGTTCACCTGAAAAAAACTGGCACCTGCTGCACCAAGGTCACAGGTGGGACCTGAGAAAAACCTTTTCTATTTGAGATGAGTGAATATGACAAACATAAAGAAATAAAAGTATAAATACATTAAAAGGGTGAAGAAAAACTAATCACTAAGAACCTAAGTGCTCTAAAAATACTCAGTACAATTATTGCATGGGTTGAGATGTGAACTTTTCTACATTTTCCTGAGACTAAAAGGCCTGCAGAAAAACTGAGAAAACAGAATCATCACCTCTGATTTATAAGACCTTAGATAGCCTCCTGGGTCATCTTCTGATTTAATTAACACTAGAATACTATAGGAGAATGAACAGCCGCAGAAAAATACAGCTGTGATGACTTAATTTGATTAAATGATTAAGATGAAAAATGTAAAAGAGGTTACGATCCCACCCCCAATTCTGTCAGTGACTTTATGATTATAAAACAATATATGTTGCATGGTTTGTAAATCATCCGGGGGGCGCTGCTTTTAATCTTACCATGGCCTCAGGAAGTATTATCACAGGTTACTTTGGCATTGAGTTGAAACATGAAACCATCATTAACATTATGAACAAATGTGTTTGTGGCTTGCATTTCTGTGAGGAATGGGCCACCTCCCCTTTGAATGGAACACTGATAACTACTTCCAGTTCTTCAAATCATTAATATTAAGGGAAAAGTGAAGCTTAGAATCAAGTTTAAAAAACTTGAGACTCTCTTATATCTGTTTTCTACTCCTTCATAAAATGGATAAAACTTACTGACACAGTCCTGAAAAATTTACATTAGCTCATCAAAATGCTTCAGGAAAGAGGACAGTATAAAAATCTACTTAAAGAGCCTCCCTGGTGGCGCAGCGGTTGAGCGCTGGGTTGCGAAGCTGCCCTCAGCCTCTCCATTGCTGGTTCAATCCCCGGCCTTCAGGCGAGGGTCCCACATGGCGTGCAGACCTCTCCTGCTGCCCGCTGCTCCCCTTAGCAGTGTATTTCTTTGTCAGTCTGCCTGTTCTGTTCCCCGCTCTGGTTCTGGTGAATCCTCTCACCCTCCAACACTTCTGACTGTACCCAGTGCTTATATAAATAAAAATAAATCCTAAAAAAAAAAAAAAAAGAAACTCCTTTAAAAAATCTACTTATAATGAAATCTTTCTATACTTCATTATTGTAGGGGCAGGAAGGAACGGAGCAGGATTTCTAGGGTCTGAGCAGATGGGGTAAAGGAGGAGTCCTGGAGCCCTCGGTGGCTTTTCAGGCTTTTGTTGGGATATATCAGGTACACGGCTGGCAAGGGGTGCCAGAGGGGCCGGGAGGCTGGCAGGCCTCCCAGCCCTCAGCAAATCTTCACTCTGAGCTCTCTGTAGTTCTCTGGTGGCCTTGTTCTCTGCTCCTCTCGTGGTTCTACTCTCTGCTCTACTGGCGCCCCTGTGACACCGCCCTCATAAGCCCAGTTTTAGCCCAGGTGAACCCACTTATGCATGCCCACACCCTACTCCAGGTGCCCACTATCAGGCATGCATTCGGGACCACAGGGTTCCATCATCAATCCAATGGCGGGAGGGCAGAAAAGCCTGATACTTTTTCACTTACTCTACAATTATCAAATACTAAAACATGAACATATATGTTTAATTCTATTTTTACAAGCAAAAATTGCTCGCTTTTCCTCAAAACAGTTTTCCATTTGATAAATACACATACTCCAAACCATAATCAATACACAAAAACATGGAGTTTTTACATAACTATATTTAAAGTCTTACCATTGTCTCTCATTTTCAAATAGCTGCCTTTTTTAAACAAACTTCCCTCAACCCAACCCAAACCCTTAACTTCCAGCTACTTCCCTTCATCTCTTCTTTTCACAGCTGATTTTCTAAATATGCTATTTCCATGTCCTAATCTCCCATTCGCCTCTGAACCCTCTCCAAATTGGCTTCTGCCCCATTATTCTATGAAACCAGCTCTTGGCCAAAGTCTCTGTGACCTCCACGTCATTAAATCCAACCAACATTTTAAAGTCTTCTTTATTTGCCCTTTCAGTAGCCAGCAGACGCTCATGTTTCTACTGCTTGAGGCATTCTTGGCCCTATATTCCACTATCCCATACTCCTAGTCTCTACCTTTGACTCTTATTCAGGAGCATGTTTCTTAACCCAGCCACATACTTTGGAGTTCTTAGAGTCTCAGGTGCTCTTCTTTTCTTTCTTTGTATCTTATACCCCTTTCCCCTTCATCCAAGATAGCTTCAAAACCTCTCAAATCTGTTACCTTCAGTTCAGACATTTCTGTATGTCAATATTTTATATCATATGTCTACTGACAACTGCACTTGGATATGGTAAAGCACTTGAAAATGAATGTGTCCAAAACCAAATTTGTAATTTTTCTTTCCTACTTAAATTCTTTTAGTGTTCCCCAGTTAGGAACTCTTAGCCAGAAAGGAACACTATTGAACTGAAGATATCATTGTCTTTAAAATATAATGTATAAAGTCAGGGTTTCAGTGGCATCATTAGGAGAAACAGATAACATGAAAAAAGATGTTTATATTGGTACAACCAAAAATTTAAGATGAGTCAAACTAGGTGTTCCCGATGTTAATGATGTGAGAAATGCTATGTAAATGTAAAAGCATACTTCAAGGTAGAGCAACACAAAGTCTAACTCACTTCACCTGGGGAAAGATGTGGGCAAGGTGTGAGCAGTAAATGAAGAGATCACAGATGATGATCTTAGGTTATATACATTTTTTAAAAGTAGTAATACAGAGAAACTGTAAGACAACTTAACAGACACTATAGACTTCCTCTTTTTCTCTGATGTGATCACAATCAGTGTAATAAAATAAAATATTGGTAAGCCAATATAGTCTCATCTGTTCTACCTAGTGATAGTTGATAGTGATCCCTGGCAAAAACCAAGGGGCCTCAGTCCAGGAAACCCCCAAATGCATGTGCCTCATGTGGTAGCTTCTGGGAATTGCTCTGGATTACTGCTTTGTTGCCCTATCTGCTACTTTGTTTCCCAAGAAGAAAAGTCAACTCTGCCCAAAGAAGTCAGAATTAAAAAAAATGTTTTTACCCTTTACTTTAGAAAATGACTTTGTCATCTAGTTACACCAGTTAAAAGCCTAGAAGTCATCCAGGACACCTCCTCCTTTTCCCACTTTGGTCCTTTAAAATTATCCAGTATTGGGCCTCCCTGGTGGCGAAAGGGGTTAAGACGCAACCTATGAAGCTATCCGCAGCACTGTAGCATGAGTTCTATCCCTGGCCAGGGAGCTAGCAATATGGCACAGCAGACCTCTCCTGTCTTGCCTCCTCCCGCTGCTCCCCTCAGCAGTGAATTTCAGTCAATCTGCCTGTTCTGTTCCCCACGCTGCCTCTGGTGAATTCTCTTGCCCCCCCACCTCTGGCCTGTACCCCAGTTCTTGTATGTATAAATAAATAAATCTTTAAAAAAATAAAATAAAAATGATTCAGTATTTCTGACACTTTATTTTTTTAATTGTATTTTTCTTTTTTTATTGTGGTAACAGTGGTTTACAACACTGTATATGACACAGGGTTCTAGGGTCACACCTCCAAAGATGTTATCACACCAAACCTACCACCAAGGCACCCAAAGACTCTTTAAAAACTAATCATGTCATCGATCCCTGCTTTTAAATTCTTAAAATATCCTTAAGGTGGCATACAAGGCCATAGACAGACTGGCTCCTGCTTTTTCAGCATTTTCCCGCACTGCCCTCCAGCTTGCCCTCTAGACTCCAGCCATGTGACACTTCTTTTTTATATATTTTTATACTTTTATATATTTTTTACATCATTTTTAATTTTTGCACAATGTATGCATTTTCATCTTGGTTATAGTCCCCATAGAATTCCTCCCCACTTATTTTGACCCTAATCCCTCCTCCCCCGGGTCTCTGGTTTATAGTTGCTTGTTGATTTCATGTGACACTACTTTAAGTTACCTGAATTCTCCATGTTCCCTCACTAAGCCATCTTTTTAAAAAAAAATTATTTATTTATATATACAAGAACTTGGGTACAGGCCAGAGGTGTGGAGGGTGAGAGGATTCACCAGAGACAGAGTGGGGAACAGAACAAGCAGATTAAACTGAAATACACTGCTGAAGGGAGCAGCAGGTGAGTCAGGAAGGCGAGGTCTGCTGTGCCATTTGGGTATCTCCCTGGTGGGGGATGGAACTTGTGCCTGCAGTGGCTGCTTCTTAAATCCTTGCACCACCAGAGGGGCCCTCACTAAACTATCTTTACACAAACTGGTCTGTGCCTCCTAATCACCACTAAAATCTTAGGTTAAATCTCATTTTATTAGAGACACTGTCCTAATCCGTAATACTCTCACAGAATAATATCCTTTCCTTTACAGAACAAATCTCAATTTGTAACTATTTATTCATTAGTGGGATTTTTTACTTAGTGTATGTCCTTTATACTAGAGTCATAGCTTCATGATCATAGGTACTTTTTGTTTTTCCTCATTGTATACCTGATTTCTAGCACAGGAGTTGGCACATACAGTGTATTCAGGAAATAGTGGCTAACTAGATAAATTAGTAAGTGGAATTTGTTAGCAAAATTATCAAATTAGAATATAAAAAAGATCATCTTTTGTGTCTTCTTTAATAAAATTAAAAATGACTAAAAGGAAATACAGTCCCATAGAACTGACATGTATGTCTATAGAATAAGAAAGTTAGATTGAAAGTTTTTTCTTCTTACCACGTCAAATAATTTTTCTTCATGAATTCTCTAATGTAATTCCAGTATAGCAATCTCAGTTATTGCTTACAATTCACACTCCCATATTAATCATTCTCCATCTCTTACCAATTATTGATTATTCTTCAGAATGTCTATCCAGCACATACCTTTTTACCCTGTTCCATAGTCAGGCTATTTCCTCAGTCTGTCCTAGACTACAAGAACTGCTATCCACAAGTATCTGTCTACATCAGTTCACTTTTTTTTAACATGGATATCTGGGTATATCTTTGGTCAAAGCACCAATATCTAAAAGAAACAAAACACACACACACACACACACACACACACACAACCCTTTAGACTCTCAATTTCATAGTAAAGCCAAATTCTCCTGCAAAGGCAAAACCGTGCTTCAATATAGCACCTCAGTATCTATTCCTATTATTCTACTCTATACATGTCCATTATTCCAAGCATAAGACACTTCTTATTTCCTGGCCTTCCAAACTACATAAAATTGGGCATGCTATCACCTCTGCTTGAATGTCTCCTTGCTTACTAAGTCAACTACTACTCATAGTTCAAAATCTACTTCACTTCTTTTTTGGAAATCTGCCAAAAACTCCATGCAAGGTTTCCTTGGGCTCTGAAAGTTTTAATTACAGCACTAATCATGACATACTATAACTTGCTCACATGTGTCAATTGGTGAAACTGGCTACTAGAGAGCAGGAATTGCTCACATATTTATGGTTGTTCCTTAAATAACAGTTGTTGACACAAAGCTATAGTAGCTACAAAATACTGATAGCTAATAGACCAGAAGGCATTTTCTTTATCACATCCTAATTAAATAAGATGAAATAAATCGCTTCAATCTTTATTTCTTCTCTTATCTACTTCAGCCAAATTTTTAGATTCAAGATATTTATAAAAACTGTTGGGTCAAAATTTATTATGAAGCTAATATTGAGAAAATGCCAAAACGGTACCTTGGCAAAGGTGTAAATTCACTGATTATTCCCTCTGCTCCAAGTGTCACACCTTGGACAATAAATGTACTTCCCATTCCTTTCCAAAGGGCTCTTGGTCCCTACAATAGATAAAATTTATTGTTATTTTTTTTAACGCCTAAATAATAAACACAAAGAAATTCTTAATAAAATTTGACATTGAATGTGTACTGAGGCTTTTCAATAGGCATTTTTCTAAAGGACACCTTAGTAGAGAATTACAACTAAATTATCCCTACCACTAATTTTGTTTGTCAGGTGGCCTACATTAAGGTCAAGTTGAACACCCCAATTAATTAGATATGTCTAACATTGATAATACTGATTAGAGACCCCTAATATTTAATTAAATTTTAGCAAAGGTATAAATTCACTGATGAGTTAGTGACATCAAAAAGATGTCATTACCATGTAACATTAGTTTTAGTACAAGAATTAAGACATTAAATAAATTAAAAGGAATTATTCATGCCTTAATTATTACTAAGGTCAAATGGCACTTGTATATAATTTATAGAATCTGTACCTAATTTTTACCTGTGTTTTATTGAAACCATACATAATATTGATGACTGTGAATGGAGTGAGATGATAATGCCGAGCATGGTAATTAACCTGTAAAAAAAGATATTTCATGATTATTTTCTATTTCTGTTTTGTATATTACATGTTGTTTTGTTAATCTAAGAGGAAAAAACTGTTTTGTCAAGAATAGCAAAAATTATGAGTTACAGCATAAACAAAAGTTCAATCCTAAAGTCATCTTGAGTTACACATTAAAATTACTCTAGAAAATGTTCTAAGTAACCTGTTAAAAGTATAGTACATAGGGTTATATAAATATACCCCTAAAACATGAATATACATAGCAATATAAACTATAGGAAAAGAAAGAAGGTCTTGCTTGATACTCATGTTTCCTTAAACACTACAATTATATTCACTGTGGCAAAATGCTCTTGCTATTTACCACACAGGAACTGGGAAGAATTAGGGAACAGGAGATTCATCTCTACCAATAGCAAGCAATTTTCAAACTATAAATTAATAAATTAGAAATCAAATACTGGGATCAGAACCAGTATTAATTAAATGAAATAAAAATAAACACAGAATATCAGATGTAGCACACATTCTAAGGGTACTATTTCATAAAACATTTTTAAAGTTACTCATATGCATTTGTATACATATGTTTTCACATATAAATGTCTACACATATATGTCTGAAATAGGCCATTTTGGGCACATAAATGTACATGCTATATAATAGCTATTTCTCTTCATATATTTATGTTTTTAGTACTAAGCATGAACAGTTTAATTTTTAGTTATCTTTTATAACTCAGTTTTCAAATAAAATAAGTTGTATTACCAGAGCTTTTACCACAGTGTGATCTATTGATCCCCAAGGGTCTTATCACCCTTTTAGGGGGAAGAAAAGGTCAAAATTATTAATCATTTTAAGGCATCATTTGATAATAGTGCAAAAGCATTTGTGAGTCAGTAAAACTGTTAACTGCTTAGCATGAATAAAGGAAGCGGTAAAGACTTTACATTTATACTTATCATATTATCTAACCTACTTACTTATAAAGAGAAAAGAGATGTTTTCACTGAAGAACATCCTTGGTAAAGCAGTGAAAAATACAAATTTTACGAAATCTCTCCCCTTGACCATACATCATCTGTCTAATATTCTGTGTGTTGTATAAGGAAGAAGCTGTCCTGAAAAAAAGTACTTGTCTAATGGAGTACAAATTGAACTAGTCACTTCTTTCTTACAGTTCTATTTTTGTTGGAAGAAGTGACTGACAAACTAGTTATACACACTTGGGTCAGACATATTGTAAAAACAAGTGAGCTTGTCAATTGAAAAAAGACAGCATTTGTTGCTAACAATAAAATTGAGATTACAAGCAAAAATTAAAATTCTGGAAAACCTATCTCCACTATCAAGAGCGTATTAATACTGAACATTTTTCCAGTGAGCATTGTCGTGATTTTAACGATGGTGTTTGTTTTCTGATATTGTATTATCAAATATCTAAACATTTGGGAGCTCTATACAACTCAGCAAATCAATATTTTTTAAATAAATAACCAATGTAATCAAGGTACTACAAAATTACTCTAGAAAATGTTCTAAGTAACCTGTTAAAAGTATAGTACATATGGTTATATAAATATACCCCTAAAACATGAATATACATAGCAATATAAACTATAGGAAAAGAAATATGGTTATATAATTAGATTATATAATAGATTAAAAAAAATCTGTTAACATGGAGTATGAATCAATAGATTTTAACAATATAAATATATAAGTTAACAGATATGGCTTCAGATTTCATATTGCAAATAACCTTTATGGAATTACCACTTACTGAGTTTTGATATAGAACCAAATAAGAATACTTACAATTTATCTGAAAATGATATAAAATATTCCCATTTTCAAATATATATGTGTACAAAGTGAGACTTTTGTGTCTTTCAAAAAAACGTATTGAGACAGATTCTTGCAGTAGTTATGAAAATCTGATGTCTTCTATTACACCAGACATTAAGATATTTATAAAAATGTAAAATAATCATTTTTCATAAAAATGTTTATGTTACTACCTAAAGGGTTTATTATTTTTAAATGAATTAAAGAAATAAGTTAAAAATTTCCCAATTTTTATTTCAGAAATGTTATCCATCTATATCGATAGATAAAACCAATATATACAAAAGTTCTTTGTTGATTCAGTTATCTTTAAGATGTAAGAGGTTTCATGCCCCAAAAATTTGAAAACTGACATATTATAGATTTTGGAACATTTCCCATGGGAATAATAATGTGTTAGTCATTTATGAGTTCTATAGTTCAAATCAGTGTTAGAATTATTGTTTAGAAGGCCATAGAAAGTTCATTTACCTGACATTGGCGGCGTAGAACAATGCAAGGATGAGCTAGTACATTTTCTGTAAAGAGACTATACAAGAGTAACTTAATACATTATTTTACACTCTCCATTCTAAAGAGGGAAAAAAATTAAGTTTCTACACATTTGCATGAAAGTAATTAAAGTCAGATTTGCAAACTGGTAAGCAAGGAAAACAATATAAACTATTAATATGTATAATATAAAGAATAAACTACATCTCCATATCCAAATTTAGGACACTCCTTTTCTAGGCAATTTAAATGCTCATTTCTACTTCTTTCAGATATCCTATTAACAGAGTTCCTATCAGAAGTACCATTTATTCTTTATGAACCTTACTCTGTAAGTTTTAGTTTTGATGTATTTTACATATTAATAGAGATTTTAGTGATCATGTTAATGAATAGTATTTTATGTATCAAATATTTCTTCTGAGAGCATTTCCCACAAACTAATTACAAACTCAGGCTCAGGACTAATACAGTAGCACACATGTATGTGTAGACCCACTGTTCACATACATAATATCAAATGAACAAAAGTTCTAAGTATAAAGCAAGGCTAAGTAAAAGTTTAGATATCAAGTCTAGCAACAGGAAAAGTTTAAAACACAAACTTTTTTTGATTCTACTAATATTAACATCTACATTTTTTCCCCTGGTTAAAATATTTAAAACAATGAGTTATTCTGGCATGAAGTATAAGTCCTTGTGCAACTTCAATGACTTTCAAACAGTATTCATTAATGAACAGTAAATCAAGACTGGAGTTACATCTTATACAACATGATCATTAAAAATAAAAACCAGTGGGTGCTCATTAATGCTGACTACAAAAGCAAAAATATCAAGGTTGCTAAATACTGTCATAAGGAGAAGATTTAATGCATAATTACTTCTTTTTGGAAAGGGAGGTACTATTAGATTTGATTTTATTATTTAGACATGTGAAAGTTGTTACAACATTCTTACTAAGCACAAAATTAAGTGACTACATGCTATCCTTACTGGAAAAGCAAGTTATAGATTTTAATAATTTTTCTTTTAAAGATTTATTTATTTATTTACGCATAGAACTGGGACAGAGGCCGAGGTGCAGGGGTTGAGAGGATACACCAGAGATAAGAGTGGCAAGCAGACAGATCTACTGAAATACACTGCTGAAGGGAGCGGTGGGTGAGGTCTGCTACGCCATATGTGTGCTCCTGTGGTTGGGGAGTGAACTCAGGGTGTGGTGATGACAGAGACTTGACCCCTATGTCACCAGGGAGACCCAGATTTTAGTATTTTTTTCTACCAAATATTATTCAGTATGTAAACTATTTCTCCAAATAATCAATCTAAAGGAAGCAATGCTAAAAACCATTTAGTATTAAAAATTAAAGAAAAACTTCCAATAAAAACACAATTAAAAATCTTCAGATAAAACCTTACCTTGCAAGCCCAATACCAAATCCAGCAAATCTATTCAACTGTTCTAAAATAGAAGAAATAAGATTACTCACAACCAATATTTAGGTTTACTTAAGAAACACACAAATTATTTTCTTAACATGATATTGAAATTCCAGGTCCCAACTTCAAATTCTGAGAGGGATCAGGGAGGTTACTGAATGAGTGAAGGATTCTGTCGAGGCTTATGACAAGTTACACAGTGTAGAAGTTCTTTTTTTTTTTTTTAATAGAGGCATGTTTTATTTATTTACTTGTTTATTTGTTTGTTTTGTTTACACATGCACTGGGTACAGTCAGAAGCGCGGGAGGGTGAGAGAATTCACCAGAACCAGAGCGGGGAGCAGAGCAGGCAGACTGACGAAGTACACTGCTGAGGGGAGCAGCGGGCGGCAGGAGAGGTCTGCGCGCCATGTGGGACCCTCCTCCGGTGGCCGGGGAGCAGCCGGGGATCGAACCGGCGCCGCAGAGGCCGCGGGCAGCTTCGCAACCCAGCGCTCAACCGCTGCGCCACCGGGGAGGCCCCACAGTGTAGAAGTTCTATAGGCACAACTGTTGTTTAGCTCCAATTCACTGTTCACAGGAAACAAAGGACCCAGGGTTTGTAAGCTGTGATTTTTCTGAAAGTAAAATTCTAATTTTAACATGGTATCATCCAATTAATAAAATATTGGAAGCTATTTTTAAAAGCATTAAAACATTGTATGGGCCAAATCAAAGATGCCTGCAGGTAGAATCTAAGGGCTTCTTACAAACAACTTTTTATTTTTTTTTATACAAGAACTGGGGTACAGGCCAGATGTGTGGGAAGGTGAGAGGATTCACCAGAGACAGAGCGGGGCACAGAACAGGCAGACTGATGACATACACAGCTGAGGGGAGCAGCGGGCAAGACATGAGAGGCCTGCTGCACCATGTGGGATTCTCCACAGCCGGCTGGGACTGAACCCGCGCTGCAGAGGCTGCAGACAGGTTCACAATGCTGTGCCAATCGCCTGCACCACCTGGGAGGCCCACAAACAACTTGTTTTTATTGAGGGTCTGACAGACACCAACTTTACCTCTCATGTTGCAAAATTGCTCATTCGCTGTTAGTGGTAAAGTGCATTTATATTAAATCAATAGTGCCAAATTAAAAAAATATATTATATTGAAAGAGTACGTGGGGTAATCATAATGGGTAAGTAATGCTCTCCCATCTCCCCAAGTTTTAAATGTTTTGAGAGCAGCTGCTTTATTAGGTTTCCGTGACAGGCACTGGGTTTGTATATGCTTTTAGTGATGGCATGTCTATAGTTTTCTTGCTTTGTTTTTTTTTTTTTTATAATATTTTTTATTTATACAATAACTAGGGTACAGGCCAGAGGTGCGGGAAGGTGAGAGGATTCACCAGAGTCAGAGTGGGGAGCAGAACAGGTAGATGGACCCAAGCACTGCTGAGGGGAGCAGCGGGTGCAACAGGAGAAGTCTGCAGACCATGTGGGTATCTCCCTGGCTAGCCTGGAATCCAACCCACGCTGCAGAGGCTGCGGACAGCCTCACAGCGCTGTGTTCAACCCGCTGCACCACCGGGGAGGCCCCATGTCTATAGTTTTATTAGAAAAGTTTATCTTTTCTAATGCACATATCAAAAAATAGAAAAAATAAACTTTTTCCTTAACTAAAAAGTTCAAAACCCTAACTGTGAAAAGTCACATTTCCAGAGAACTAGACAAGGGATGAATTTTCTTCACCACCTCCTCTCTTTCTTTGCTCTTTCAGATGAAGCAATACCCTCACTAGCCCCTTGCAATCAAAACAAGACCATGTGACATGTTTCTGAGTAAATGAATTGGCTCATCCTTGCCTTGAAAAATGTGCGGCGCTAGACAGAAGTTTCTTTTTGCCAAATTAAGATACTTCCCTCCTTTTAGCGATTCCTTTTTTGTGTGTTTAGATCATCCCCTAATAACAGAAGCCACAACTGGTATTTTGGAAGGTGTTAGGAAGGATTACTGTTATTAACTATGTTAAGTCTGTCAGGCATATAGCCTCCTGAAAAAGTTGAATTTACAAGCCACTAACTGCTGCAAAAAACAACACAGCATTTATGAAAAGCATCAAAGCATTTATGAAACCATTTATTAACCATCAAAGCATTTATGAAAAGATAATAGTTCAGATTTACTTTCTAAGAAAATAACTGTTTAGCAATCACATACTCATTTTGAATTATTTAAAAATCTCCAGTACTCCTTTGGGGAGGAATAGAAAGAAAAGTAGACAGAGAGAAAAAGCTAATTGTAGGACACTGAGTAAATCAATGACCCTCCTGCACATCCTCATTTGCTCACTAGGTGATATTTAAAAGCCTATTCCCTGAAGTTAACGCAACTCAAATAAATATTGCACTACCAAGTTAAAATAAAAAACACTAGAATAGAACTGATGTCCAGAATATATTTAGTACTTAATAATTTAATAAAAACATTATTCTAACAACCTCAAGAGCGAAAAGAGGCTGACATTATTTGCATCTTCTGAATAAAAAGATGTTGAGACTATGTAGATCAACGTGCCAATTAAAACACTGGTCTTTTGACAGTCTACTGACAATGTTTTGATTCTAAAGTTTTATCTTGAAATTGTATCAGTGTTTTTAAAAGTCTTTAGTGTGGTTTTTAGGTCAGGAAAAGAAAAACGGGAGGGAAGAAAATACAGGGGTATTGGGAGTCTAGGAAATAAACACAACCCTTATGGTTACAAGGGAAAAAAATAGAAAAGTATGCATTTTAGCCCACTATGTGCTCTCTGCTGTACTACACATTATTCATCCCTCTTTTTAACACCTTAAAAAGCCCTGTCCCCCTTAAAGAAAATCTGCGGGCTTACAGTTAAGTCTCTTAGCTCTGATGAGAGGAAGCTTGAGCCCAAGCCTGCTGCAGCTGAAAAACTTTTCTTTGCAAGAGTCGAAGCTACAATTTATTGAATCAAGGACCTACGACTGCCAGCGAATTAGGTATTGTTCATCTAATTCTCAACACAACCTCATGCTTGATCCAGGCCATGCCATGAAACACGCCCAAATCCTTCGACATTCCCACCACACAGCCCACAGATAATGGAAGGCGTCCTTTCTTGGGAAGTGATCCTGGAGAAATCGCTTGTGTGAGGAACAGGGAGGCCCAAACCAGGGGCAGAGGACGAAAAGAGGGCAGAGGGTGTGGCGCGCTCCAGGCCGCGAGGGCACGGAGGCGGGACCCTCCGCGCGGCTTCCGGGGTTCGCGGGCCCTGCCAGACCCGCTCCAGGCCCCGCGTCGGCCGCCCCGCTGCAGCCCGCTCCCGCCGGCCCCCAGGCGCTCACCGCTGCTCTGCCCGGCCACGCCGCCGCCGCCGCCGCCGGGACAAGGCTCCTCCACCGGGCCCTCAAGCGGGGTGGAGGGGAGGGGCATGCTGTAGGGGGGGCTCTTTTCGCCCCAGTGCAGGTTGCGGCTCCCCGGGATGTCCGGAGGGCTGGTCACCCAGTGGCTGAGGTCCGCCGCGGTGCTGAAGGACCGTGCAGGGAACGCTCCGCCGAAGCCCTGCTCCTCCCGGGCCCCCCCCGATAGCCCAAGCCATCGAAGCCGTCCGGGCGCCGCGGGTGCATGGCAGCCGTGGCAGGGTGAGGCGAGCCTCCGCGGAGCGCACCACCGCAGGCGCCGCGGCCGGCGACCTCCGGCCGTACGTACAGCTTCTCCGCCTCGGCCGCCGCCGCGTCGGGGAAATCGTGACAACCGGAAGTAACGTTTGAACCCGGAAGTCCATGGAGCACGAGCGCGTAGCCTCTTCCGGCGGCGTTTAGTGACTCGGTTGCTAGGGGGCGGTGCCTGTCACCGAAGGCGGAAGCTTAACGCGGCCGCTTTGGGGAAAGAGGTGGGAAGAGGACTGAGGCGTTAATGGACCACTATAGGGATGCGGTAAGGTTATTGGGTAGGAGGTGCGGCCTGGATGAGTGCAAGGCGATGGGAGATTTTTCTTTGAAGGAGATGACGCGCTGCGATCTGTCAGTAATGTCTGGCCCACACAGGCCCCAGAGCAGGTCGTCTCTTTCCTCACTTGGCTAGAGCCTGGCCTGCCACAAGGGAAGAATTACAAATCGAAAAGTGCAGCATTTCCTGACTTTATATATACCTTTGTCTTCCGCACTTAGCGTTAGAGGTAAAATATACTGAGAGATCTTAGGACTAATGAAACCAAAAGTACTATGCACTGCCAGAGCAACCCTTGGAAAAGTTCGCGAGAATGTCGGGGAAGACGCTCCTCAAGCGCCGCCCCTCTCCCATATAAACTACTCTGCATAATTTAGAAATTAAGCATTTTGCTTTTGTGAGGCCACAAAACAACTATATATAGTTTTCTATAGTAGCTTTTCCCCCTGATGTGTCTAAACTACTTATTTTAACCTCAGAGACATTCTTCAAAATGAGACCCTAGTTGAAAAATTAAAAGGACTTCTGTAGAGACCCCCTTACTACCTGTTTTCATTAGCTCCTTGGGCTCTTCGGGCAAAGCTGTTCACCCTGGATCTGACCCAGCTCTCCATGGGTTCTGCTTGTGTCTCTTCTTCCCCACTGGTTGACCAGGATTCCGAGGCCCTTCTGAAGAGAACCCTGACGCGCTATTCTCAACCTTCCAGAAGCTAACCTTTATTTAAAGTAATAATCAACTTACTGTTGAGTAGATTAACATTCTTAAATCAAATCACGTTATGATGTGGCTTTGCCAAATATATAAAGTCTCTTACTTAAGAAGTGTACACAGTATTACTCAAACAATAGTACCAAATTACTAGGTAACACCAAATTAGTTACCCCGCAAGGAATTAAATTTTTTTCCTCTGGTCCTTAGGAATGATTACATCAAAGATTACATTGGCACAAGTCCAAAACTTGTTTATTAAAAAGAGGAGATAAAATGTCTTGAACACATGTATGCATTGTGCGTCCTGTTTTAATATGAAAACAATGGCATCTCACGGTTTCACACTCACCATCAATGGAGAAAAGATGACTTACTAGAAGGAAGGCAGCTGGGTAGCCAGTTGAGGTAAAGAAACGTTCTAAGAGTGGCAATAAAGTCAAAAGCCATATAAGGAAAGCCCGATCAATCTGACTATCTTAAATTTTTATATGGTAAATAAATAATATTTTATATGGTAAAAAAAATTACACTGAAAGGTAAGGAAAAACTGGGGAAAATTTCATTTGACCATGGTTTAGATCCTCTTTTGCAAAAAAAAAAAAAAGAGAAAATCAGGAATATGAACAAAGGACATAAAGAAGATACATTAAAAAATGTACATTGTCAAGCAAAGTAAGAAGAAAGTAACTCATTTCTGGATTATACAAAATATAACAGCTTTTTGATAGAGGAAAATTTGACAGTATCAAACACCATAAAAATGATTTTATCTTTTGATTCCGAAATAAAAACAAATGAATATGTTATTTATATTTGTTTATGTACATGTTCATGACATAATTGTTTATAATAGGAAATTTTGTCAAAATGTTAAATAACAACTCTTATATAAATATTTAGGAGAAAAATTTTCAATGCAGAACTAATTTTAAGGTTCTCATGACAGGCTAGGTAGCCAATGAGCAAGGATTCACTGGAACCTGAAAGGAGGTAAAGAGCTAAATTTTGCAAGACCTTTTAGGTGATGGACAAGAAATTTAAGCTCTCTGAGGAGTGAATTGATTTTATGATCTTTTAGAAGGATCAACCTGGCTTCTGTATGGGATAAAGGTGAAAGGCTGCCATAATTATTAGGATTGCAAACTGCTGAGAAAAGTGATAGATAATTAGACTTTGGATGACAGGGGTGAAGGAGAAGAAGTATTTAATATGACTAAAGTCATAGCATTTACAGATTCCATTAGAGATGAATATTAAATGACAAATGAAAATGTTCATATTAACTTGAAAACATTATGTACGATATGATTCCTTTTGTAAATTCATGAAGATGCACACTCAATGAAAAGATAATATGCCAAGATAATAAAATTATGTCTGGGTGTGGGTTAATGTGAGTTTTATTTCTCTATTTTGCATTTTCTAGTCTAAATAAACAAGTTTTCTTCTTGTGTTTTTGCTAAAGAAAAATTAGAAAAATCAATAGTATAGATGCAGTTATGGAACGCAGCAATAAAAATCTTTCTGGATTGCTAAATCTATTTATACCATTAAATCAGCAGTCTCTGGAGCACTATCAGTTTTCCTACCCTGTATTTCTTCAAAATCTTTCTAAAATAATGCTGAAATGATCCAGAGTAGATAGCTTCAAACTAGTTTGAGATACTCATAACACAGAATTTAAAACATATTATTCTCTCTAGGACTTAAAAACAGTGGCCAAAATGCATTTTATGAGAATAATAGTATAATGTTTGTAATTAGTTATTTGTTGCAGCATAACAAATCATCACAAAATCTAGCAGCTTAAAACAGCATTTATTATTTCAATATTTTGCCAGTAGCTTAGTTCAATATTTTGCAAATAGCTTAGATGATGAGTGGTTCTGGCTCAAGGTCTCTCATTAAATAGACAAGGCTAACTTGGTGTTAGTCATTTTGACTCAATTGAATCCACGTCCAAGGTAACACATTTGGCCAGTTATGGAAAGAATGCTGATTGATCAATCAGGTTTGATTGATCCATTGAGAGCTTGAACCTGATTTGTCCATTTTCAATCCTGGCACTGTATTCAAAAGTGAAATCCAGACTGTCCAGACCTGATCTATGCTTACATCAAGGCGGGCTCATCTGTGGTGAGCTCAGGGGAGCTACAACCAAAGCCAGGTACAGTGGGTGGATGTTCACTGCACCTGGATTGCCCCAACGGGGCTGAGTGCGGTGGCGCAGCGGGCCTTGCAGCAGAGCTGGGACATGGTCTGAGTTGCCAGGGCACAGGCCATGAACATACCATGCTGGACTGGCCCATAGCCCACAGGCCTCCCTGCTGAGGCTTGCACCAGGCCAGGGCAAGTTTCACAGCTGTAGCCCTGGGACTAGCTGGCCCTGGGGCAGGCAAAGAAATGACTGTCATTGCTGCTGCTAGGGCCCAGTGCTGGCCCACAGGCTGCACACACTGAAGCCAGGGTCGGGGTGGGAGAAGTTGCCCACAGGCAGTGCACAGGCCTCCACGCCCCAAGGCTTGCCACTGTTTCAATTCAAAATGATATGTATTTTATGACTATATGTTCATCTTATGATTCATTTTTGTGGTCAAGGTTTTTTTCCCTCTGGAAAATCAATCCAGAAAATCTGATCTAGAAAACTAATTGCCATATTACCAGTTTGAAATCAGGCAATGAAGAGCCTCCCCTGGTGGCACAGCGGTTGAGAGCTGGGCTGCGAAGCTGCCTGCAGCCTCTGGAGCGCCAGTTCCATCCTTGGATGCCGGCGAGGGTCCCACATGGCGCAGTGGACCTCTCCTGCCGTGCCCACTGCTCCCCTCAGCAATGTGCTTCGGTTCTTCTGCCTGCTCTGCTCCCCTCTCTGGCTCTGGTGAATTTTCTTGCCCTCCCATGCTTCTGACTGTACCCAGTGCTTGTATAAATAAATAAATCAATCTTTGAAATAAGGCAGTGAAATGTTAATAGCTTTTGTCACAAGCAAAATAAATTTGGGTATAAAGAAAATGAAGGTGGAACTTAAGTTTTGAAATATATAATTAAGACAAAATAATACATATTTTCAGTTGTTTAACTTTGAAATAGTTTCACCTCTTTCATAACTAGTAAGCACTCAATATATAAATTGATTTATGTATAATTTGATATGTACTATGTAATATTGTTAGAGTTCTCATGAAACATTTGAAGGTGGCCCCAAAGTTATCCTGAGAGAGGAGAGTCATTGAATTGGGAAGGTTTCTAGAAGGAATTTCCCAAGGTGAATATATCACTTAGGATTCTTCCTGTTGAAAATAACAGAAATTCAATTCAACCCAATTGGGTTTACTGAAAGGATAGCAAACTTGTAGCTGGAAGACCAGGTTGAAAATTGAAAGGAACAAATGTTCTCCAAGATCAAATAGGAGGTACCATAATTGTCTTTTGGAGGCAAAATCTGATAAGGATGCTATTGTCATTGTCCATAGCAAAGTTTTTGCTATTTTTATCTTGGCATCTGTAGGGTAAGGTAAAAAATATCAGGCTTTTCTGCCCTCCCGACATTAGGATAGATGAGGGAATCCTGTGGTCCTGAATGCATGCCTGATGGCGGGCACCTGAAGTGGATACACCTGCGCTGAGAGACTGAGTTTATAAGGGTGGCATCACGGGGACGCCTGCAGAAGCCAAGAATGGAGGCCAAGAGAAGAAAAAGAGAAGCAGAGAGAATGCGGAGGAGTCCAGATAGAGTGGGGATTTGCTGGGGGCTGGGAGGACTGCCAGCCTCCTGGCCCCCCAGCACCCCTGCCTGCCGTGCGCCTGGTAAATCCCCCCCCCAAAAAAAGACCTGCAAAAGCCGCTGAGGACTCTGACTTCTCCTTTACCCGGTCTGCTGGATCAGTAAACCTGCTCCGTGTCCATTCCTAACACCTACAGCATCATTTTTGGAAATTTAAAAATCTTGAGCTAAACATCCACTAGGCTAATACACCCTTAAGT